AAAATACGATTCTACTGATCAAAAACACCTGAAACATGAGACGGGAGCTGTGATCCCTGATAAAATCAATACAAATGAAAAATGCAATGTATGCGATATGCAGATGCGAATGTGGTTATGCGTCGAAACATCGAGCCAAATGCGAGACCCGGTTGGTCAAATTTTGGGGTGCAACATTAGCCTTCCTTTCTTCACGTCTATAATAGCTCCGGCTGTAGCTAGGAACGGTCTTCCTAGGATAATTGGGGTAACAGAGTCCTCTTTGATGTCCATGATTATGAAGTCGGTTGGGATGTAGAATTGTCCTATGCGTACTGGAACGTTTTCCAGTATTCCGACGGGGTATTTTACTGATCAGTAAGCCAATTGTACGGACATTTTGGTTGGTCTTAGATCTCCCATATTCAGCTTTTTGCATATAGATAAAGGTATAACACTGATACTGGCTCCTAAATCGCATAGAGCTTTGTCTATTACGAACTTTCCTATGACGCAGGGTATGGAGAAACTACCTGGGTCTTTTAATTTAGGAGGCATGCGGTTTTGAATAATAGCGCTACACTCTGCAGTAAGCGTAACTGTTTCGTTATCCTCGATCTTTCTCTTATTTGACAGGATTTCTTTGAGAAATTTAGCGTATGACGACATTTGAGTTATCGCTTCTGTAAAAGGAATAGTGATATTCAACTGTTTAAGGAGCTCTACAAATTTCTTAAATTGTCCTGAAGTTTTGGAGTTTGTTAATCTTTGAGGATAAGGGATAGGTGGTTTATATGGCGCTGGAGGTGCTTGCGTTTTTTCACTTGCGGTATCCTCCTTCTCGTTGTCTTCCTTCTTCTCTAACTCGGATTCCTTTTCTGCTTGTTCAGTTGGTTTTTGTTGCATGGCTGAGTTTTCGGTTCTCGGATCGATCGGTTCGTCCAATTCTTTTCCACTTCTTAATATGACAGCATTTGCTTGACCTTTTGGATTTCGTTCGGGTTGTCCAGGAAATGTGCCAGCGGGTGCGGCAGCAGAGGCTTGTTGTTGAGCCACTTGTGATATCTGTGTTTCTAACATTTTGTTGTGGGTGGCTAAAGCGTCTACTTTTCCGGTAAGCTGTTTAATTTGCTCGCTGGTGTGTATGTTTTAATTTAAGAATTCTTTGTTTGTTTGAGCTTGAGTAGCTATGAATTTTTCCATCATCAACTCGAGGTTTGATTTCCTAGGTGCAGTCTGAGCAGCAGCTGGTTTCTGATATCCTGGCGGAGCAGCAGGCATCTGCAATGCATTATCGCTTTTGTAAGAAAAGTTTGGATGATTTCGCCAACCTGGGTTGTAGGTATTTGCGTAAGGATTTCCTTGAGCATAATTTACTTGGTCTGGTAGGATTCCGGCCAGCAATGGGCATTCGGGCGCATTATGAGTGGTGATTCCGCATAACTCGCAGTTTGGAGTTACGGCAGCGACGGTTGCAGTGGAGTTAACGGTCAGACTGTCAATTTTCTGTGCTAGAGCATCTACTTTAGCGTTGAACTTTTCAAGACTGCTGATCTCGTACATCCCACCTTTCGCTGTGGGTTTCTCTGTTGGAATGCGTTCACCTCCCCATTGGCAGTGGTTCTGAGACATGTTTTCGATTAGTTGATAGGCTTCGTCATATGGCTTATCCATAAGTGCACCGCCCGCAGCGGCGTCTACCGTTAATCTGGTGTTGTATCAAAGCCCATTATAGAAAGTATGAATCGTCACCCAGTCTTCTAGACCATGGTGAGGACATGTTCTCATCATATCTTTGAATCGTTCCCATGCTTCGTAAAGAGATTCAGTATCTTTTTGTCGAAATCCGTTGATTTGAGCTCTAAGCATAGCAGTTTTGCTTGGCGGAAAATATCTCGATAAGAAGACGTTCTTCAACTGTTCCCACGTCGTAACGGAGTTGGATGGTAAGGATTGTAACCATGTCCACACTCTATCTCTAAGAGAGAAAGGGAAAAGACGAAGTCTTATTGCGTCTGGAGTTACTCCATTTGCTTTCACCGTGTCTGCGTATTGTACAAACTTCGTTAAATGTTCGTTTGGATCCTCAGTTGCATTTCCTGAGAATTGGTTTTGTTATACAGCTGACAGCAATGACGGTTTCAGCTCAAAATCGTTTCGAGTAATAGCTGGGGCAACAATGCTACTTCTAGGCTCCATCTGAGAGGGTGTAGCGTATGCCTTCAGCGATTTGTTTTGAGGTCCTTCAGCCATCTTTGATTCTTCTTCGGATTTGGGAATGTGAGTGAGAGGATCGGGAATGTTATGTTTTTATTGGTACTCAATGATGCGACTTCTTAAATGTAAGAAGCGCTCTAGTTCTGCGACTAAAGGTTTTAAGATATCGCCTTTTGGGCGATTACTTGGCATACAATCGACAGAACTAGTAAAGGGAAAATAAAATTGTTAACCTAGTCTATACGGCGTAACAGAAGGTTACACTATTGACTAAACGGGTCCCCGGCAACGGCGCCAAAAACTTGATCGCAACTTTCTATGTCTAATACAACTTAACTGCAAGTGCACAGTCTATCGCGTAGTAATAAAAGATATCGATCCCACAAGGACTCGTAATCAAACTAGTGTTCTCGGGAGTTACTATGTTTAGCTAGGTAGATAATGTTTAAGGGAATAATTTTTGTCACTAAAGGGAACTAAAAACGTTACTTGAGTTATAATTACGCGAATCGATATGCAATAATTATTTTCTTCGGGGATTTGACAAGTTACCGGTATATGAAATATTTTTCAGAATTTATTTAAGCAGAAAATAGTGATCTGAAGACTTTCGTCTCACGATGGTTGTTGACGCTAGTCATAATTCTAAGGGCCGAATATACGCTTTCGCTGTCCCATTCGGGGTTAAAACTACTTTTTGGAAATCTCTAAGTTCTAATTTATTTTAAAGTGCTTTCGCTGTTATTAAAACAAATGCCTAGTGTTTACTATCTGGTCTTAGCCGCAGCTGTCGCTTGTTGGTTCGTACCTTAATTAATTTCCCACTGTCGTGGCAAAACTACTTTTAAATAAGTTCTCGCTTTCGCGACGAAAGTTTATTCAGTAAATAAGTTTAAACACTCAGGCCATAAACAACTTTTGAAAAGGAAAGTTCTTTACCGGTTATTATCAAATCCCGTCTGAATTATTATTACATATCGATTACTCTGGTTTAGCTAGACATGGATTTGGGAAAGGTAAAACATAAATAAAAACAGAAACTTAGAACATTCATATTACTGAGAATTAAAGTTACAATTAACGAAATAATGAAAAAAAAACTGTAACGTATCCAATTGGCTTTTGGCCAAATCCCAACGATGTCGGCAGGATTATGTCTTCAAACCAATAGAGCGCACAAACGAATATTGTAGAAATGGAATACAGAAATAAGGAAAGGAAACAAAAACAGAAAGAATGAAACTAAATTTTTGCTCTGGAAATAAATTTGGGCAGCACTTCGTTATCTGAATGCGGCTCCCTTTCTCAGTTCCCCTCCTTCCCCTTTTATAGAGGTAAAATTCTAACGGTTGTAATTTGAAGAAGGTGGACTTGGAGGCAGAAAAGTTAGGGAGTAGTGGTCCATTATTTAGGACTTGGAACTGGTATTTGCACGTTCAATTGAAGCTATGTGTTTTTGCCTGCATGACGGTCGTCATGGTGTGTGACGGTCGTCACCCGTGTGACGGTCGTCACAGCAGCAAAATGCGCATTCTATGTTTTTCATGTTGTTTTCATCTGGTTTTCGTCCATATTTCATCTGTAATTGCTTCTTTTATTCATATTGCTTCGTTTAGACATGATCTTCAAATACCTGCAAAATATCAGACAAATAACATGGAAAAAACCCGAAATCGGATTGAAACCAGTCAAACATTAGTTGAATTATGCGTCAATATATATATATATATATATATATATATACGATTTCGCGTTATCATCAGCCCTAGTTAGGAACAAACAAATTTCTTTAAACTCGATAATAATAGTGTTTGTTATAAAATTAACTAAAATAATAAAGAATATAGACAAAAGAGAGAAAGAGAATAGTAAAGTTTGTATTACATTAACATCCAAAGCATGTCCATAAATAAATAACATTAACATCCAAATAAATAAATAAATAAATAATGATTTTTGATATGATATTCTTCTTACGTGTAATTCTTGAGCATTAATAAGTAAGCTCTGTATGGTAAGATATTTGTTGCTCTGTATGGTAAGATATTTGTTGAGTTTATAGCTTATAAATTTATGTGACAATAAAAGACTTATTTGATTAAAAAAATTCAGCACGAGCTTATAGCTTATTTTATTAGTTTATAGTTTATTTTTCAGACGCTATTTTAAATATTGTTTTAACTTATAACTTATAGCTTATCATTTTCGCTTCCACTTTTATCTTTATTATTTTAATTAAAATCCACCATTATCCTTTATAATTTATTATAATTTAAAATAAAATAAAAATTATTAAATACTTATTTTATCAGCTAATTAAACCGCTAATTTTACTAAACACTTAGCTTATCCGCTATAAATTCATTAGTTTATCCGCTATAAATTAACTATAGACTATTTGTCACTAGCTTATCAGTAGTAAACTATAAACTATCAATTAACTTATCTTTTTCTATTATTATTTTGTATCCCTTGAGTTTTTTAAATTGCATAGGTCTGAATGTAGAGACCAATCAAAATCGTTTTGTCATTATCAGAATCGTGTTTGGAGTGTTCATTATTACACACAATATGAAAGAGAAAAATGATACACAATACAACCATAAGAAAATATACACAAACTAATCTATCTACATCCATGAAAGAAAACATTACATACATCCATAAATATCAGATAAATATGAGAGAAACATTACATCCATAAATATCAGAAAAACATTACATCCATAAATATCAGAAAAACATTAAATCAAACTCAAATTTATAAATATAATTCTGAAAGAAAAAGTACTAAGCATATATAATCATTCAAAAGCCCAATGATTTTCGCGGCGAAGTTCCTCCTCTTCTTCTTTTGTGAAATCATTCTCAACGTTGAACATCTTGCGAACTTCCTCGACTGTCTTACCAACCATCGACTCCGCAATAGTCTGGCTTGTAAGATCTAACAGACTCTTGATGTCCAAATAGTTTGCAGCCAATATGAGTTCAAACAGTGTGACTTGATCCACCTTGACGAATTCGGCATCCCATGTTTTGAGAGCCTTCTCATCAACAGACTCTTCTTCAGAATTCGCAGCCGCAACATGCTTCTTGCAGTACTCAATAACCTTTGCCAAAATCTGGCTGGTTACATTTGGAAGAGGGATTCCGGTTTCATCAGCGCAATTATCCTCAATCATATGCTTGATGGTTTGTGATTCCAACGCCACCGCTTCATCGATTTCAAAAACATCACCATCACGACTCTTGAGGTTGATCTTCTTTGTTGATGCCATGATTGAACGTTGATTGTTGGATACTATTGTTGTTCAGCTTTTTTCAGAAGAAAAAACCCTAACCCTTGGAAGCTATAAACTAGTGAATAGCTTGATAGTATTTATAATGCAACTAGGTTGGACTCCAGCGTACGTAGCCAACAAGTTTTATTTATGGATTTTATTTTGTTTTTAATTAAACAGATTTGTTACCTTTTTAATTAAAAATATTTTAAAAGATTTGTTATCCATATAAAAGCGTATATAATGGAAATTGGTTTTTAACTTTTTTTTTCTGTTACAACTATACTACTCCTTCCGTAAAAATATATATGCAAATATTTTTTTATAAACTATAAGTAGGAAAGAAACTAGTTTTTATTCAATTTAATTATTTTGTTTAAAAAAATACATCTCTTTCAAGTAAAATTAATCACAAATGATATTAAAATTATTATCTCTCATTTGCTTCATAATTAATTATATTGTTTTAAGATTATGTCATGAAATTTATTATAAGTAAAACACAATAAAATACAATAAATCATACATTAAATTAACTATTATATTGTTTTTTATAGTAAGTATAATTCTTCTTAAATTATATATTGTAACTTAGAAAGTGGTAGGGATGAGAATGAGTAGGGTTTGCACATGGTGTTATAGTAACTGTTTCCGTGTATATGTGATTTGAAAAGAAAAAAAATTCATACTCGAGTCCATACTCATGTGGACATTAATATTTGTACCCATCATTCTATTTGATGAATACTTAAGTATTCATATTTGTTTCGGCTACCTGTATTTCTAGTCAAAATAAATTGATCAATTATAAAATATTACATTATTTTAAGTTTTTTATGACATTAAAAAATTCAAATATTTTATTATTGAACTATGTAGTAAATAAACACTTACATTAAAATGTGCAATAGCTTAATAGCGATATCCTTTTTAAAAATTAATAGACATGCATTTTTATATAATAATATAAATGACAATATATTAATATGTATTGTATCGGTATAATGAAGCTTGACATGAATATGACCTAAGATTCTAGGTCATGCCTTGAGGTAAGAGCTCTTGTGAACCACTGGTTGACTAAATTTGACTTTGCGAATCAAAACTCTAATTTTGAAATCAAGTTTGATCCATTGATTACATGTTCCTACCTTGTATAATAAGAAATAGAATAACACATATCTTTAGTATTTTGGATAAGGTTAGAAATATTAGAATACAAGCAAGCAAGGAAAACACAAAGGTGCTTGGTGATCTCTCCCCAAAAGCAAACCCAAAGAGAAAGGGGTTAGGAGGATATACCATGCTTGTGACGTTAATGAGATACAAATTTTATAATAGGTAAAATCTTAGGGATAAAAATTAAGTTATGATAGAGAGCCTAAAAAAATTGAATTGGTGCATGCAGATCTGTGTGGTCTAATAACTCCAATCTCTCATAGTTGCAAGAGATATTTGCTAGTGTTTGTAGATGACTACTCTCACAAAACTTGGATTTATTTTCTTGAGGAAAAAGGTGAAACATTTGAGATATTCAAATGCTTCAAGAATCTGGTTGAGAAAGAAGCTCAGAAACATATATGTTGTTTACGAACAGACAGGGGAGGAGAATTCACCTCAAGCAAGTTCAATCAGTTCTTCCTAGAGAATGGAATTATACAGCAATTAACAACTGCTTTTACACCACAACAAAATGGGGTAGCCGATTGAAGAAATCGAACAATTATGAATATGGTCAGCTACTTACTTACTGAGAAAGAGATGTCAAAGACCTTATGGGAAGAAGCTGCGAAGTGGACAAATCATGTGATTAACAGAAGCCTTACCGAAGTAGTAAAGGAAATGGTACCAGAAGAAAGACGGAGTGGACTAAAACCTAGAGTTCACTACTTTAGGGTGTTATATACCTAAGAAAAAGAGAACTAAACTTGATGATAGAAGTCGTAAATGTATCTTAATTTGAGTGAGTGATGAATCAAATGCTTATTGGTTGTATGATCTAATATTAAAGAAAATCATAGTAAGCAGGGATGTCATATTTGAAGAAGGAGAAAAATCGAATTGGAACATAAATTTAGAAGAAGAAAAAGAAATTACTTTTGATTGGGGTAACGGTGGTAGTGACATGGAGGATTCTAATGAAGAATCAGATATAGAAACAGAGGTGAGTAACGCTGGAAACGATGAATATACATTAAAAAATGAGGAACGACAACATGAAGAGTAACAACATAAGGAACAACCAATAAGAGAAAGAAGAACACCTAGTAGGCTGCAAGATTACGAAAGTGGAGAGGGTCTCTCTAAAGAAGAACAAGAGGTCAGAATGGTTTTTTCATGTCAAATGATGATCTCACAAATTATAAGGAAGCTATGAATGATGTAAAATGAATAGAAGCCATGAAACATGAAATAGATTCCATTAATAAGAACAAAACATGAGAGTTAATAAATTTACCAACACAAGCTAAAAAAAATTGGAGTGAAATGGATTTACAAAACCAAATTGAATGAAGAAGGCAAGGTTGATAAGTACAAAGCTCGACTTGTTGCAAAAGGATATACACATACAGAAAGGGTAAACTATAATGAAATATATGCTCTTGTTGCACGATGCGACACAATTGAAATTTTATTGGTTGTAGCAGCACAAAAAGGATGGAGTGTGTACCAGTTGGATGTGAAAAGTTTCTTCTTATATGGAGAGTTGAAGGAAGAGGTATATATGAATCGACTTGAGGGCTTCATTAAACACGAAGAGGAAGAGAAGGTGTATAGGCTGAACAAAGCATTATATGTCCTAAAGCAGGTGCGAAGAACATGGTTTAGCATAATCAATAGTTACTTCCAACGAGAAGGAAATACAAAGAGTAAACACAATCATACTTTATTCATAGTAAGTATTTATGTTAATGACTTGATATATAATGGGAATAATGAAGAACTGTTTGCAATATTTATGCAGTCTATGATGAAAGAGTTTGAGATAACATACCTTGGTAAAATGAGGTTCTTCCTTGGAGTTTAAGTAAGTCAAAATGAAAATGGAATTAACTTATTCAAAAAGAAATATGCCATAGAAGTTTTGGAAAGATCTAATATATGGAATTGTAACTCTGTCAAAAATCCAATAGTTCCTGGAATTGTGTTGTCAAGAGAAGGTGGAGAAGATGCTAATTCAACTTTGTATAAGAAATTGATTGCTAAAATAATCTTGAGGTACTTAAGAGGTAATTTGGATTTTGGCTTATTTTATAGAAGAATGACTACATCAAAGCTTTTGGCATATACTGACAATGAATATGTAAGAGATGTAGATGACAGAAAAAGTATTTATGGGTATGTGTTTCTACTAAGTGAGGCAGCAATTTGTTGGAGTTCGAAAAAGCAAGTCATCTTTACATTATCCTCTAGTGAAGCTAAATATGTGGTGGCATCCTCATGTGTTTGTCATTGTGTTTGGATGATATTAGTTCTTGAACAAATTGGAGATGAAAATTGTGAATGTATTGATATTCTTTGTGACAGCAGTTCATCAATCAAGCTCCCTAAAAACCTTGTGATGCATCGGAGAACTAAACACATTGATGTCAGATATCATTATTTACGTGATCTTTCAGATCAGGGAGTTGTAAAGTTGGTTTTCTGTGGAACACAAGAACGGATTACAGACCTTATGACAAAGCCATTGAAAGTTGGTTTTTCTTTGTGACAACAGTTTATCAATCAAGCTCCCTAAAAACCCTGTGATGCATCAGAGGACTAAACACATTGATGTCAGATATCATTATTTACGTGATCTTTCAGACCAGGGAGTTGTAAAGTTGGTTTTCTGTGGAACACAAGAACGGATTACAGACCTTGTGACAGCGCCATTGAAATTGGATCATTTTGTGAAACTTAGGAGGCTACTGGGAGTACAACCACTTGAGAATTAAATTGTATGCTTAATGAGCATTTCAGTTTAAGGGAAAGAATTTGTTGGTATATTTAGCTAAATTTAATAAGTGTTATTGGTTATTATAGTTTGTATTCCTTATTTTTTTTCTGAGGTTTCTATTAAAACTATAAGGCTTATATAAAGTCATTATATTCTCATATTGTAATAACAAGAAGTTATCCCACTTGATTAATGTTATTAATGTTTTTTTTGTAAGCAACAAGATTCCAATAGACGTACAAGGGGTGAAAACTCGAACAAAATGTAACAGCGGGAATATTACATCCGCTTCATACAAGAAACAGGGGAGCTAAACCATTCGAAAAAAGAACAACCTAAAGAAAAATTTACTTCCAAACAAAACCACAGCCAAGACAAAAGTTGGATCAAATGGATCGTTTCGTCTACATCAAAAATATTACTTTTAAAAATAACATTATAGCCCACACGACCACAGTCCATAAGTAATTACCCTTTTGGAAATTTTACCACATTCCCCTACAATTATACCCATACCCCTACATAAAAATTTTTGGACCAAAATACCCTCGTATAAAAATTTATAATTTTTTTCATTTGTTCACCGAAAGATTTTTTGCAAGTTTTCCGGTTCATATTTTTTTCGTTTGTTTACCGGTTCATATTTTTTTCGTTTGTTTACCGGAAGACTTTTTGGAAGTCTTCCGGTTCATGTTTTTTTTTTTAATTTTTAAATTTTAAAATAAATTATTGCATTATGTGTCATTTTTCTCTCTCCCATTCATCTTTTATTTTATATTAAAAATTTATTATTGAACATCAATTAATTTTTTTCTTTCTCAATAAATTCAGATTTTTGCCTTAAATATATAGTTTTCATATACTGATAATTTAAATTAGAATAAAAGTATTATTAATAAAATAGTTGAGATAAGAGAGTAAAAAACAAATAGATCATAACCTTTTTCATTATTTGTTGGGACTATATTATTATTATTATCAATATTATTAAGTTTTTTATTATTGTAATTATTATTATAATATATATATATATATATATATATATATATATATATAT